GCTACAGGACATTCTGGCAGTGCTCCTTCCCCCTTAAATGGTCCAAGCAGCACGAGATCAATTAACTAAAAGACCCAACTGTTTCTTACAATAGAGGGTGCCACAGGGATGTGCTCTCAAATAACTGTGCACAACTGGGCATTGCTTTGGTTTGGTAAATCCTTCTGTTAGACACAATTTCTTTATGAAAAAATGCTGTGCTAAGGGCTACATCTGAAAGGACACATTTCCCAGTGGAAGCTCAGAAAGAAGGCATTTACAGAAATAAAGTTGTGGTTTCCTCCTTAACTTTGTCATTAAGTGCCTATTTGTTACAACGGTGCTTCATTACTTATTATATGTCTCCTTGGCATGTTTCTTGCATAATGTGCTGGATATTGTGCAGTGAATGAAACAGAGCATTGGACGGCCCATCCTGCCTCATGAATGAGGCAGGTGTCCTCCTGTGGGAAAATAATGCTATAATCAGCTTCTCCTGTTATTTGTGTGCACCAAGAAGCCAGACCAGCATTTCAAGCAGATTCCATCTCACCTCTGTTGAGCACCAAAGGGGAATCTACATCTTGCAGCCGGCGTGATCTAACAGCTCTCTGCTCCCTTCCCTCTGACCCGTCTCCCAAGCAAGGGGTCCTCCAGCTCCTGATTTCTGTTCCCCTGGGACTTAAGGAGGCTGCCTCTGCCAGCTCAGGGAGCAGAGCCAGCTCTGAGGGCTGCCAGGGCTGGTGTCAATGCAGGCAGGGAGAAGTGGGACTTTTTCTTTCCTTGGCAACAAGCTGTTAGTTCAGCTCAAGCCGTAAGTAATACCAACTGCCCTCTCTAAGGAAGGTCTTTATCCAACAAGCACACTGCCCCAGGAAAACTGCTCTCAGTTCTTAATTAACTGCCCAAGCTACAACACATAAACTCACTTCTGTACAAAATAAAGTCCCTGCAAAATGAACTTCCCCACTTACCACAGCCTGTGCTGGGTGAGAGAACTGCCCACAGGGCTTCTGTGTGCAGCCCCAGTGCAGCAGGATAAACACACACCAGACACTGATGAGCACTAGGCAAACCTCCTTACCAGGGGTTGTTTCTCAGTGGACACCCCTCTGCCCAAGGAAAGGACAGCTATAGAAGACTTGCAAAACTCAAATCTTTGAAGGAGAGCCTGTGACTGTGTTGAATAGCGTATGCTTTGCCTCTTTCCCCCAGTCCCAAGAGAGGGACGCATCATCCCATGTCCCTGTACATACTGCAGGTACCATTATTCTGGTTAGCAGTAGCTGGGTATCTGGTTACCCAGTGAGGTTCAAAGCTCAGCATGAGCCATTCTATTGCTGCAGTGAGCAGTGATCCATAGTCCTGAAGGATCCCTCTATAGTCAGCAAAGGGAGATAAGCAGAGCAGTCGTAGAATCAGAGTCATAGAATCATAAAATCATGGAATAGCTGGAGTTGGAAGGGATCTTTAAATGTCATCTGACTGCAACCTGCTGCAATGAGCAGGGACATCTTCAGATAGATCAGGTTGCTCAGAGCCCCATCCTTGAATGTTTTCAGAGATGGGGCATCACCCTTCTGGGCAACCTGTGCCAGTGTTTCACCACCTTCACTGTAAAATATTTCTAGTTTAAATCTATCCTCTTTCAGTGTAAACCTGTTTCTCCTTGTCCTATCACAACATGCCCTTTAAAAGTTTGTCCCCATCTTTCTTATAATAAGCTCTCTTTAGGTACCGGAAGGCTGCAGTAAGGTCACCCCAAAGCCTTCTTTTCTCCAGGCTGAACAAGCCCAGGTCTCTCAGCCTATCTCCATAGCAGAGGTGCTCCAGCCCTCAGAGCATCTTTGCGATCCTCCTCTGGACCCACTCCAACAGGTCCATGTCCCTCTTATGTTGGGATCCTCAGAGATGGAGCAGTGATGCAGGTGGAGTCTCACCACAGCTAAGTAGAGGGGGAGAATCAACTCCCTCAGCCTGCTGATCCATTGACCTGATCATGCTTCTTGTGATGCAGTCCAGGATACAGTTGTGGCTTTCTGGGCTGTGAGCTGGGCCATAGATTCATAAAATTGTTTAGGTTGGAAAAGACCTTTAAGACCATGGAGTACAACTGTAAACCTGGCACTGCCATACTTAACCATGTCCTTAAGTGCCCCTCTTTTAAATACCTCCAGGGATGATGACTCAGCCACTTCCCAGGGCAGCCTGTTCCAATGCTGGACAACCCTCCCAGTGAAGAAATTCTTCCTAATACCCAGCCTAACCCACCCCACCCCCCAGACATCACCTTTCTAATGACACAGAGATTTTTTTCGTCCCCCATTAGATCTCTGCTTCATTAAGAGTCCACAAGACACACACGAGGAGAAAGAATTATGGCAACACAGAAAACTGTAATTAGTCGCTGCACAATTTTCAAGTGTGTGTACCCTCTGTTAACTAACCTGTATCAGGTATGCCATAATACAGTGTGTGTGCATATTACATATGCATGTGCATACATACTGCATCAGGTGCCTTGTATTGCAAGGCAAAGACTGGAAAGATGTTCTTGTGTTTGCTAATGCTCATATCATTCTGCTAATGGGGAAAATAAACTTGCATGCAGTTGTATTAGGATTTGTAAATAATTTATGTGTATTTTGACAACAATTTAAATGAAATATTATATCTAATACCTTTAATTGAAGTTATTAGGCTTTATATGGCTAACTCAAACATGATATAAACAATGCAAGCTGTACAACAAAAGAATAAGGACTCGTGTTTAAAAGCTGTAAATGGGGCTTACGTGAACATGCATTTGTTTCACCTGATGGAAAGATTTAAGCCTATTCAAATGGCTTTGGTCCAGGTATAAGAGGAAAAATGGTCCTTTATCCTTCTTGTCATGATTTGTAATAAACCAGAGTATCAATGAGTAAGAAAAACAGAGGACATTTTGCTGTCAGGTACCAATTCCTTTAATAAGTAAGCCTGCATCTCTTTTAGTTTAGGTGTGAGAGCATTTTCTTTCACTTGTTCCAAGGTGGCAGCTAGTTTGAAAGCTGGGCTGATGTCTTCCATGTCAATAAATGCTGAAGGTGGCATTTGACAGCTGTGGTCTCCTGAGAGCTGAGGTTGGAAAGCAATGATTTATTTCCATCTGTGAAATTCCTAGGTTTACTACCTGAGATTGTGTTTTTCTCACCAGTGCCTGTAGTAGTTACGCCACTGGTGGGTGAGCTAATGATGAAATCACATGTACCTGTGGGGTCTATATCTAGAATCACACAAAAATCCTTTCAAAACCTCTAAAGAATATCTTATCAGGCTGAATATTTTGCCTGGGTCTCCATGAGGGGCAGGATGGTAATGGTGCACTTGAGGTTGGATCAAAGTCTGCTGCCAGCTTCTGAGAAATGGATGTTTATAGCATGTTACTATCAAGAGAAAAGGAAAGCCTTTGGCAATAGACCTTTTTGGAAAGGACATGACACAGCTAGACATGGAGTGGTGTTTGCAGACTAGCACAGTTTGCACCGCAAAGTGCAGGGAGCAGTGCAAGACCAAAATCTGTATATCCATTGCCCCACAGGGCCAGCCTGCTACATGTGCAGAGATGAGCTGAAGCTGCACCAGCACTGCCTGGGACAAGGTAACCCAAGAGCTGCAGGACTCTGCTGCAGGGCCAGCTTCACCCCGTGCATTGCTTTGTGCAGGAATGGCAGAAAATGCTCTGTTCTCCTTGCAAAGAGCAGTTCTTTTCTTGGCACAGGTAGGGTCTAATAAGTTTTTTTCATTAGCTTATCATCTAGTACCTACTCTACATAAGGTTCTCCCAAAGAATGACAGATCTGTGAATAGATGGTGATGCTAGCTTGAGTTTTTCCAAAGTAATTGCTCAAATTTGGAAACTCTTTGTTCTCTGGCCAGGAGGACATAATTAAATTGTGTTGACCTTCATGAAAATCTTGCCGGTGAACTGAAATGGGCAGAACGCAGGCAAAAGTGCAGCAAGTGCAACATTCCTAGTCTTGCTGGCCAGTTTCTGTGTCAGACACGCTTCCCTTATTGCTTTAAAGTGGTGCAAGGAAATAGATTGGTTTTATATAATAATGATATCCATCCATTACCTGAATTTTTCTTGATATCATTGCACTCTTCTGGGGGGCATCTGGCATCTGTTTACTTGTGTGCTGAGAGCTTGCCTAAATGAACTGCTGATGGAAGCGTTCGGTATTTCTCTGCTCATCTGGGGTGTTCTATTTGTTTAATCAGCAACTCTCTGCTCTTGGTTGTCTGTACCCTGTTAGGCAGGAACTGTGCCTCTGTGTCAGTATTAGATGAGGATTACATTGCAATTCAGCTTGATCTTTCAATCTTTCCATTTGACATGCAGCTATGCTTACTTTTTTATTTGTGTTAGGCCAGACCATCACATTGCAGCTAAGCTACATCAGTTCATGTCTGATGAAGGGCTCTGCATTTGCAGGGTTCTTCAAAGCACTGCACAAAGCAGCCACTGATAGATTAATTGCTCACACCACTAGCAATGATCAAAGCAATCCCTCTCAGGTTAGGCTGTGAAGAGAAATAGAGGGAAGCTATGACAATCACAATGTTGCTTGAAAGAATAGCATGTGTGTCTTGTCTTTTGCCTCACTGAACTCTGGGGTAAGCACTAATCCCTAGAAACCTCTTTTGTAATGGCAGGCAGTTGGACAGGCAGTGTGAGGTTTGCTGTCTGCCTCCCATTGCCTGCTTGCTGTATTTTTCAGAAGTCACAGCAGGAGATGATGCCGAAGTGTTAAGATAGGGTGAAGAAAGAGATCTGTTAGTATCGGTGAGGGTGTGTTTTTTAATGGGCCTTGTAGTAGGCATATTAAAACATACATATAAGTAAAGACCTACTGTTCTCTCATTGTAGGAGGGACAGGGAAAAAAAATACTTGTAGGAGGGATTTAAATGCAGAGTTTGCAAAAGTCTGAAGAGGGTATTGCAGCCAGGACTGGCAATGCCGTGCAACCATAACAGATACACCCTTCTAGATGAAAGTTCTTCGTGCTTTATTAGTGCCTCTCACATAGATATCTGATGTCTGATCATTTGTGCTGAGATTTTACTAATTCTTTTTGCTTCTAATTGAGGCTTCCTCCTATCCTAGAGGAAGGCTAGGGGACATAGCATGACTAACAAGCTGATCCACTGGGTTTTCTGTATTCATGAGGCTCCACTTCCATAAAGAGAAACTGGAAATCCTTTTCACCAGGGAATAATATGCAAGGCTCAGAGTGGATGAAGTTTGTGTGCTCTTTTTAATAAGCACTGCTTTTCTTTCTATAGACACTCAAGCTCCCCGAATTAGAGTGCTGCCTGAAGGGACAGGTATTATGAAAAGCCTTTGTGTGTCAGTGGGAAGCCCCTGATTATCACAAGAGGATCTAAATGGAAAGGTGACATTCAAAAGACCATTAAGATAAAAGCCAGGATGAATTTCTTTCCAACTTCACTTAATAGAAGCTTTTGTTTAAAATCACCTTTCCTGAGAGAAGGAAGGAAAGTCCAACCTGTGCAATCTGATATACATAGCTTACTTCTTAATTGGGTACAGTCAGCTGCTTAAGAAAGCAATAGCTTAACTAGGAAAGGTAATGAGATTAATGGCAGAGGTAATAAGAATGTCAATATATGTGACAAATATGTACTTTTAATCTTTCAGCCATGAAAACCCAATGGATAACATAGTACCAGCTACTTCCAGATGATCTTCCAGGACATCAGGCACAGATGTAATACAGACAAAATTGCCTCTACTAGAAAAGCCAGCTTGTTTTGTGCTTGGCTTTGTGGAGCTTTAGGAAACTGAAATAAGGGGTTTTATGGATAATTGTTGAGTTTCTGTTTGCTTGCCCTCTGGACTCCCTGCAAGACTGTTGCCTACAGCACGCTCTCCAATGCTCTTGGTAACCTAGTTTTGAACAAAGTATGAAACTGGGCTGTGTCCTTATTGCCTGAAGCCTGTCCCACAGTTCAAATTCTCCTTGCTTGGCCAGGGCTCATAGCTGAGAAATGTTTCAGTTTTGTTCCATTTTCCTGTTACAGCCCTGTGACTTTTTCTTGAAAAATACATAAGGGAGTCTCTGTGTGTGACTGTCTGTCCCCTCTGAGCATTTAACAAGATTGCACAGTAAGCCTGAGACTTGGAAGTGTGGATTGAGTAAAAAGTGATCACAATCAGTGTTAATAGTGACATTTGCCAAGCATAAAGTATGTTAGGCCTGACTTCCATCTGGCCAGTCCTTTCCCTGTAATGTCAGTGATGCTGTCAGCCTAGCTGGTCCTGGATGCTACTGCTGACTGAAGTTATCCTGCAGCTTTGAGATGACTGTGGCCAAGATCTCAAGACACAGACTAGTATCTAAACGATGTTCCTCTCTGCTGTGATAACAGAATTTGGCAGCAGCACAAATCTAACGCACTGTCTTTTATCTCCCAACATCCACTGCCCCTGTGAAAGTCTCAGTAGTAGCAGAAATAGGCAGTAAATGGATTGCCTAATTTGCTAAAATCTGATCTATAGGTATCCACTTGGCTGTACAACAATGTGTTGAGCCGCACAGCAGGGCCTTATAGTTCCCAGCTATTGTTGAAGGAAATGCATTAAACCAGTAGGTCGTGTTATTATGTAGGATTCGTGCCAGTTCAAAGCTGCCTGCTGCCTTAATGAGTTGTAGTGGCCTTCCACAACAATTTCCTTTTTCCTAAGGGTTGTCTTTCTGTCTCTCTTGCAGTGCTGGATCATGGGTCCTAGAGCCAGTGTCAGATCTGCATCGTGTCACATCATATCTTAAACTGGGTGCTGCAGCATGTGATTGCAGAGAGCTACTCTCAGTCGCTGTTTCCCACCTAGCTTCTGGGCTTACCATCACATTAAAGATCCCTGCAACTCAGCATCTGTCTTGGCTGCTGTGCAAGGGAGCTGTTAAAACCTTTGGGAGTTAAAATACTTGTATTAAGTTCTCACTGTAGTGGGCTGTGATTTTGCTAACTGCACTTCAGTCACGTCCTTGTTTCTGTGCATGACTAACATCTAGTCACAGCTGGGGAAGTTTTGTCTTCAGAAGGATTTGAGCAAGAGACGAGATAAAGCATGCTTGGCAAAGAGTCCCATCCACTGTTACATTATCAGTGTTGCCCTGGAGGAAGCAGTTTTGGGTTGTGCAGGATATCAGTGGTAGAATTCATCACAGCCTAGTGCTGAATTCCCCATCACCACAACAGAGAGGCTTTTTTGCAACATCTCCTGTAAAAAATGCCTTATTTAGTCTGGGACCAAAAAGTATTGATGATACACCTCCTTTACAGGGCAAACTAGGGGAATGTCATGAATAGTCCAGAGGTGTAAATTCTAGTTAGGATGTTACAATGACTGCTTATTATCTATTAAACTAATTATATCATTATATGGGTGTGTATATATATATCCTATTGCTTGCTTTTCCATCTATTTCTGAATTTCTCTCTCACACTATTTACTTTATAATTTTGTTTTGTGTTGGATTCTTCATGAATTAGCATGGAGTTGAAAAGCAGACTCAGCTCTCATGGTTCTTCCTACTCTTCAGAGACCTGTCTGGTAAAATGCCTTAAAATTGCCAGAGCTAGTGGTAGATATAGGCATAGCTCTCTTACCTGCTGTGTGAGCACTTTTTGTTTCCTGCTTAGAAACTGTCATGCTAGCGGTCAGCTCCAAGGAGCTGAAGATGAAAATAGCTTGAGCCCATCTTCCTGCTGAAGCAGAACTGTTATCTTGCATTCATTCGCTATCACTTTGTCCAACTTAATTTTAAATGTACCAAGCAGTAGACCTTCTGCCACTTTACTTTTAGGAGATAACTTTGCATATCTCACTGCCATGAAGTTCTTCCTGATGCTCCACATTTTCCTATCTCTACCCTTGAATGCTAATTCTGTCCTGGTCCCTTCTGCTAATTGGCTCCTTGCTCTTCATAGTATTTAAACCCTCTCAGGTCTTTCCTGTCATTGCTTGACTGTGCTGCAAGTGTTAACTCTTTCAGCCTTGGTCTCTTTCTGCTTGCAGGTGATTCAAGTTTTGACATCAACTTAGGAGGCGACACGGCAAATCTTCAAATCTGCCCTGTAGGCAGAGTGGTGGAAATAGTTCTTTGATTCACTGTCTTGTTAAAAAAAAAAAAAAAGAGAGAGAGAGAAAAGTCATGTTGCATGAATAGAGCAATTTGCTTCCTTCTGAGGAATAATACATTTAGTCAATGGGGACATGAATTTCTAATAAAAATGTTGGGTTTGATTAGAAATTGCAAAATAAAGCTACTTTGTTTTTAGCAGACCACCTAGATCTTCTTTGCAGTCATTCATAGCATTGTTAGTTTGTTCATGTATCTCCCCTAACTTCCAGCTACATGAGCTAATGAAAGGGCGCTTAGCCAGGGAGATCTTTAAATGTTTGCAGCATCCATGAGTAAGAAGATTAATAGCCCAAATGATCTAGCATTTGCAGTTGCCTACAGCATGAAAGCTTTCTTTCGCTTTTTTATTTTTTGAGAAACAACAATAGATCATTGTGAATATGGTGAGGAGATGCTTGTTTCTTGGAGTGGGTATGAAGTACACAGGGGTGAGGAGATCAGAGCTGTTATTAACTACTCACTGAAGTAGATAGCTGGGACAATCTTTACCTATGAAGTTGCTTCTTCAAACAGAAGCCCCTGAAATGCTGTAGAGAAAGAACAGACAGAGGACTTTGGGTATTTGGAAGGTAATCTCCCATAATCAACAGTGATATGTCGAAATCACTGCCTGCGAGGTGGTGGAGTCCTTTTGTCACCAAATTCTCACCCTTACTGTGTTCAGGATCCAAGTATTTGGTGATCTGCTCCTCTCTACCAATAAAATGCCTTCCCTTCTGCAGTCCTCTGGGTCTTTCTGTCACTTCCCAACTTGGATATCTGCATGCCTGACAAACTTGCTGGGTACAAAGATACCTGCTTCAAGAAAATCCATAATTGTGGATCCTGGCACATGGATTAGGTTACAAGGCTCAAGGACCAAATGCAATGATGTCATTTGGGAATCTGCAAGGTGTGGGAAGTGCAAGGCAAAAAAAAGCCCTCCCACGCTGCAGGGTGTGCAGCTGCCCCTTCAACACACATGTACCCGTGGTCAGCAGGCCAGAAGCCCAGGGCTAGGACCTGTCATGCATTTTGGTAATGTGACTGTTCATAGCCTAAGGCACAAATTATTCCTCTCTATTCTGGTATTTCTTTCATAGTTTTTTGCACCTGAGAGCTTTTGGAATTGGACTGCTCCCTGGGTAACAGAGCTATCTTCAGCAATGCTGAATAATTATTATTTTGTACATATTTACAGACAGTCCAAAGCTTTTTCCTAATGTTCTAAGTGCTGATGGTAAAGGATGTGTGACCTCTCCGGCATCAGATAAATGTGTTAGTAAGCCGTGTAAAGCTGTAGCCTAGTCTTTATCCCCCAAGGCAGGTCTTCTGGATGCTGCCCATATGCCTGACTTGAGCTGCCATGAGCTCCCCAGCACTCACCAGGGCCAGGGAGAAATCAGATAATCCTGCTGGACTCTGGCAAGGAGAGGATCATGGTTTGGAGCTTGCAATTGATTAATCACATAAAATGAGCAGTGGGCAGGAGTCTTTAACAAGCAGCATGAAGTTTGCAGACAGAAATGAAATCTGTTTTAATAAGTGAACCGCTGTGGGGGCTGATGTGAACTAAACCCTTTCAGACGATGGTCTTTAGACCTCAGCAACAGAAGCTTGTCTAAAAGGAAGTTTTCTCAGAATATGATATAAGCAGCCTAACAAATGTACAGACGCCCCAGCAAAACGAATCTTAAATGAATCTACCATCTCAAATTGCAAGGTTAGTGGAGGCCATGAGAAAAGGCAAAATGTATTTGGGTCTCAATTAAAAATAATAATTCCCATCACGTTGCTTCTGATAAAGACTTGGCAATTTTTAAAACTGCCTTTATTATCCTGCTAATAAAGGATAGCCAGCAGCAAGGTGTCAGTGGAGAGAACAAGAGAATCGCGGGGTGGTGCTGAGATACTCAATGTTAAATAGTCTGCAATCTGTATTCAGAAATATCCCCATGCAGGAGCCAGAGGAAGGACTAGGCACTACCTAGCTGCTCCTCCTGGAGAGTACTGAGCAGGGATGAGCTGTGGGCTCAGAGAAAGGGAACATGGGGAGAAAGAATATGGTGAAATCTGTGGAAAATGCAATGTGATCCCAAAATATGGCTACACACAGGAGTGAGCCTGGGGGCTGAAACCCTGGTCAAGGTTTAAGCTTGATAACAAACAGTGAAAGAGACATAAAGCTGCAATGAAACAGGCTCACCAGGGTACTATTCTTTACTGATTTCCATGGTATCTGAATGCTGCAGAGGTTATATAAATAGGCACTTTCTGGAACTCTTCTCCCTACCAGGACATGTTTGGAATTTTATTTACCAGCTTCTGTGTTTTGTAGTGAAGGGGTGGGCTATACTGAGAAGCCAGGGGCTTGTGTTCAGGCTTGGTTACAGTAAGATCATTCCATCCTGCAAAACAAAAATGAAGGCTGTCCTGATAAAGTTGCTGGTGACGCTCCTCTGTCCCAAACTCTCCCAAGCTTCACTCAGGTGCAGAGAGGATCACTGCCTCAGGTAAATGTGAGTGCTTGTCTCTGAAGCATGTTCCTGCTGAGGAGCTGGAGCTTGAATATGATCTGCTACTGCAGGACCAGCCTGAGGACGGCTCAAAGCACCGGCGTGGTACCTTCACAGCAGCATGTGTGGGAGAGCACGTGGGCTGCTGAATCTTCAGGCAGATGACGTGATATTATATTTCACTCTATTTCTAGAAAACCCAAGTCTTCATTCCTAAGTGGTGTGCAGTGCATTAGTGACAGTGGGAGGTGGAAATGCATGAATCAGTGTTGCCTGGGTCTTTACCCTGCAGTACAGGTCCACCATAAACAGAAGAGCTTTAAATGAGTGTGGGAATGGGCTGTTTGGTTGTGAGGGTGGTCCAGGATGCCCCTGGGAGAAGGGGATGTGCCTCTGCACATGCTCTGTCTCTGTCCTGTAAATCTGCCCCTCTTTCTAACACACGGCACTCCTTTACCTAGTTTTACATGTTTTAGACCCATTTCATGCAGAAAGAAGTTT